TGAAAAACGTAAAGAAAGGAGTGCAGAAGCGTCTCTCCCTGTGATCCTGTGGAAAAGGGAAAAAACGTAAAACACGTTAAAATCGTAAAGAAAGGCGTGCAGCAGGCTCCTCTCCCTGTGATCCTGTGGAAAAGGAAAAAAGGTGTAAAAAAAAAGTGTTCAGAAAACGTAAAGAAAGGCGTGCAGCAGCGTCTCTCCCTCTGATGGCGTGCGAAAGGAAAAAACGTAAAAAAACGTTTTAAAAAAAACGCAGACTTCACCTGAACCATGTCACATACAATGAACCAACATCCAGGGTTTTTACCCGACGTCCAAGACTAAATTAAGGATGTTCTTCGTTTGGTTCAGCCTCTTTGTCGTCCGCTGGCTTCTCTGCCATCTCCTCGAGACTGTTGCCGTCACTGAAAATACTCTAGAGTAGCCACAACTGCCGATTGCAGACTTCTTACAGGCTTCCTCCATCAAAATTTAGACCCAAGTCTGGGCGTGTCCTTGGGCTTCACATGCGCACCAGCGGGCGTCGGCATTGCTCTCTTTCCACGCAAGTGACACCTATTTAGTTACATTTTGTTTAATATCTATCTGAAAATCATTGAACTTTTCAGGTCAACTTACAATCTAGATGCTTCTGTGTAAGACATAAGAAATCACTGAGAAATGATTCATCGGTGAGACCGGGTGAAACCTCAACAGTCGCGGTCAGTGTCACACGTATTCACACGTCACACAGCCTCTAAACCCAACAGCAACCAAGTAACGTCTCTGTCGGACCTTACCCCTTAGTCTTTGTCAAACATAACACTTCGTTTCTGTCGTGTATATGGAAAATCTTGTCGATTACCGTGCAAATCTTGTCGGGAAAAGAACACGTGTTCATCGTCTAAGGCCAATTCTTTGCCAGGTTTCTTTTGTTGCAGTTCACTCCTCCTGGTTGTGAACCTCTCGGGAGGCAAATAGGTCAAAGTATCGCGCTCCACGATCTGGAGGACGAGAGCGTAGGAGTTGTGAGAACACTCCTCATCTCCTCGAAGCCTGAGCCCAGTGAGCCGCTTTCGCTGATCGGCAATGCGGGCATCACGCTCTGCGAGCGCCAGTGTGGCCTGAGTATCATCTTTCTTTTGGACCTTGGCTTTCATCTCTGCCACAAACATGGTCTGCGCCTCAAAGATGAGGCGTTTGACTGAGGCAAGTGTGCCAATGTTCGGACCAACACCAGTGGTGAAGAGTGTCCTCACTTGGTCATCATTCGGAGCTGTGCCAGGAGGCCCTAGTGCGAAAGCCAGCCGGGCCAGCGACGTAATGTTGTTGGCTATGAGACTGTCTATCTCTGCGTCAGTGAGGTGCGCCTCGCGGCATCTCGTTCGCAGGGTTTCTTTTGACTCCACAAGGGTGCTCATGGCTACTGCTAGGGATTGCTCTACAGCTTGATGGGCAAGCTCGCGGAGGAGTCAAGTATGACGAAAAAGAATGCATATATATACATATACATAAAAAATATAGATATACGAACAGGCAACACGCGATTCACACGATCATCAGCAAATGTCAAGCCGCATCATGTTTCACATGTGAATACCAATCTTCTGATGAGCAAATTTCAAGACGTATCATGTTCCACGTGTGAATACCAAATTCTAGAGTTTTTCGCACTTGCGGGACTATCTCCTTCACAAAATACCTAATCGCTGCCTTTTCAGATGGGAGGCCAAAGCACCGTACTCTCCAAGCGGCTTGGCCTGCTGGCATCTCTTGCACAGGCGTGTTTCCATAAAGAGCCCTTGTTGATTAAAGCAAATTCGGAGCTCATTTGAACCCTGCGGTTGAATTGCTCTTGAACTGTTCCATGAGCCCTCAGGTGGATGGTTTTGGAGCGCCTGCGTTGGTGCATCTCCATCTCTGGGTCAAGGCATGCGGAAACCGGTGCCTCGGGAGCGTGATGTGATAAACAGAGTTTATAAGCTGGTCACGAGTGTTTCCAGCACCTATATGTATATATATTAACCATTGCATTCTGAGAGTCGAGACGGTCAGACATCGAGTTTCGACGCGAAGCTCGGGTTCAAGGAGGCAACACGTTTTTGGGACTGTGCGGGACCAATTTTTCGTGAACTGCTGTGATGGTCTCGCGCTGGAACTTAGCCATGCCCTGCAGCAGCTTCTTGGTGAACTGTGACGGTTGCGGGGGATAGACTTTTTTTGTGGGTGGCCGGCTGGCCTGGCCGGTGGCCGGATGGCCGGGCGGCCGGTTGGCCGGGTGGCTGCGCAGCCGGTGATATGGCCGGATGGCCGGGTGGCCGGGCGTGGCCGGTGGCCGGATGGCCGGGTGGCCGGGCGTGGCCGGAAGTGGCCGGGTGGCCGGATGTGGCCGGGTGGCCGGAGGGCCGGACGGCCATGTCATTGGTGGCCGGGTGGCCGGACGTGGCCGGTGGCCGGATGTGGCCAGATGGCCGGAAGGCTGATATTGCTCGCGAGATCCCTTTCCAGAAAGCAGCAGAAACCAACAGTGAGGCATTGCCCTGGCTGTATGGCCAAACAAGTTGTTGGGAAGAGCAGCGACATTCTCAGTAAGCATTGCCCTAGCTTTATGAAACTTTATGACCGGAGGGCCCCCTGCCACAAACGCTTAATCTCCGCGTATTTTCGTCAACAACCACACTATGTGATCCAAAGGGTCCATGCCCCATGGATCGAGGTATGGTTCGTGTCTGGCCTTATGTTTTGGGCGGCAGTTGTCTAGCTACAAATCGCCCTGCAGGACTGTGGGGGATACATGCAGTAGGCACGGCGTGGAACGGTCACACTTTTGCGGGGCCACGGGCAGCGAAAACTAATCTTGTGAAACTCATCAGATACACCTGCTATACATCCGGACCGGTTTTGCGCTTCTTTGCGTTGGCCCGTTTTTTGTCCCGCAGGTGCAGGAGCTTTGACATGTTGTGAACATCTGCACACTCGTGGATGAATAACTGAGCGAAGAACTTGTTCATGTGGTGCACTGTGTGGCCCAACGGGCTAAATTGAGAGTTCACACTTTCAGCAATACTTGTAGGGAAGGCGCCTAGCAAAGCCCTATTCTCTTCCAAAGATGGCAGGCAATGCTCCTTGCAGTACGTCCCAGTGTGTCCTGATGAGTGGAAATCATGGATGGTGAAACTCATCTCTGATAATCGACGTGCGACGTCGGATGCATGTTGATGCTGCAAGCAGAACAGCTTCAGATGGCAGCTGTCGTCATGCACAACAACCTTGAGATTCTGGAGGCGTGCCGCCAATTTGGCTAAGAAGTGGTACCTCTGTGACAAAGACTCAGCGCAAATCAATTCGTTGATGTCAATGATAAGTCCTGCACGGTTAAGTCTCCTTTGTTAAAACGTTCAACGCGTCACCCGACGCATGACCGCCAATCCCGGTATAGGGATGCGCCGACCGGACCGGCTTCGGACGAGCCAGTTACTGCTTGATTGCATGCGCCTTCCAGTGACCAGGAACGACCAACATTCAGCAAAACTTTTCAACTTGTTACAGCACAGGGGCATAGTGTGTTCAGGCGACTGCGCCCAGCGAAGCTAATCTGAACACGAGATCAGGACTGTCCACCCTGGCCTTCTGCAATTCACTCCAAACCTCGCCGTGTTTTGAGAATGCTGTCTCAGTGTATAGTATCAGACCAGATCGATGAAGTTTAGAGCGCCGCAACCATGAAGGAACAAACCATGTGTCCATGTGTGGTAAGGCATGGTGTAACGAAGGTACATGCAGATATCACGGCTGAACACCGTGACCTACCCACCGGGCATGAAAACTGGAAACTGCGCTTCCTGGGTTTCAGGGCAACTAGAGCACCTGCCTGCCGTGGCTTTTAAATCACTGAATTGCTTTATATATTGAATTGGGATAATCTGTAGAAGCTTGACGCCGCGACTTCGACCGCGCCACGCGTGTGTACCTCTTTGGGGCATGAAGCACGGAACTTACCGGCATGGAAGGCCACTCTTTCTAAAATCACTGACGGGTCAACAGAGAGAAAGACCCAGAAGCACAACTAGAAAGCGGCAAGAGGCAAACAACCAGCAAAAGACACCGGTAAAATTTCTAAACTTCATAAATGCTACTAGCCACAATTCTTGCCCCTCACAAGCAAACACTCTTTTTCACTGCGCGAATCAACACACGGCAGCAACCAGGCCACATCTGCCTGACTGCTGCCACATCCATCCCAGGTGCTGACCAAAAAACAAAAAGCAATCACACTCCCAGGGTGGGTGGGTGGTGGGAGAAAAGTCAAAGGGTCACAGGCCTCACTCTCCACTGATCTGCTCACTCAAGCACAAGGATCACTATCCTCAACATCACAAAAAACAGGACCAGTGTCGCTGCAAAGCATAGCATAGAACAGCAACGCTGGCCTGCTGTGCGCGCGCCTGCCTACGGCCGACATGCACACTCATTGAAGTGTTACACATCCGCGCGCAACACCTGTTTCATAGCAATTTGTTGTCAGCTGGGGTCGGCGGTGGGGCCGCGCAAGCGGTCGGAAGATTGAACAGCGGTAATTTGCCCCCTGTCCTTGGCCACTGACTGCCAACAGGAAGCCGGCAGATCGCGCAGATGCCGTAATCTGCTGTTCCGTCTCCTTGTGGGTCGCGCACGAGCTTTCAATGCGGGCACGGCTTGAGCTCCAAGGTGCCAAGAAGCGGCGACTGCGTGGACGCATGCCCGTCCATTTCTCAGCTTTGACGTCCACTCGGAGCTGACGCCTATATGCGGAGGAGGCCCGAGGAGCAAACATCGAAGGGAATCCGCTTTCATTTAATAGGCTTAGGAAAGGCCCACGTTAGAACATGCAGTCCTAATGGCAATCATTATGTAGGAAAACCATTGCTTTCTTCATTACAAAAGTCTGGTAGCTCCCAACCTGCCTTTTGAATCGGCCATCGAAGCAAAATAGCTAGCCAGCATGTCTTCTCCCACAGTGCACGCAGGCTGCCAGTTCCCGCAGCCTAAAATTTGTATTCTAAATGGCAGACGTCGTCCGCACTATGCAGCGCCCGCCGGAGTCGGTGGCGGCCAATGGTTCCAAGGGCTTGACTGGCAAATCGGTCCCTGGCAGCCGCATGGTGGCGACAAAGGGTATCTGTTCCATGAGGTCGCAAGCTGCACCCCCGTAGCAAGAGCTTGTTGAGGTGGCGAGATGGGATCACCTCCGCATAAGGAGCGCCACACGTTCGTCGATGGAGCTTCGCATTTCCATCCACAGCAAGTATTTCCAAGGGATCTCCACTCTCCTGAATCTGCGCTAGCCGCCTGAGAAGCAAAAACAAATGACGGCAATGAAGGCCCCCAGTTCCAAGCAGCAGCTAGGAAAGCTCTTTAAAAACTCATTATTTCAAACCGTCACTGTGCGCTTTGGAAAGCCATAGGCCTCTGAAACATCTGCTCCTCGTACCACTCCCAGTTTGCCTCGAGCAAAGCTTCCAGGGGCAGAGCGTGCAACTGTTTGCCGAGCCTGTCCTGCAACTCTGTGGTTTCAACTTGCGCTCTCCGCCAGAGAATTTCTCGGGCCCATGCTTCTGAGAGCTGTTGTCGAGCTTTGACCTGCACTGAGGGGTGCAGGAGCCTGAGAAGCACGGCCTCGCCCTGATAGGAAGCCCTGTCCAAATATTGGCGGTACCGCCACCTCCTGCACCATGTCAATGCAACTGCCATCTTCTTGGATACGAAGAAATATTGGGCGTGAGGGAGGTCAACCCGCTTCTGCTTCATTCCATTCTCTGTCGGTTCGACAAACCCGCGCCAAAACTTGTCTGTAGAATTGCAGAAAGAGCAAGTGCTGGACACGTGCCAAGCCAGAAACGTGTCAGGCTCTGCAACCACCTCGCAAATCACAGCCCCCCTCTGGTTCGGTTTTGCAGGCGCTTGTTGCAAGGGGCATCTGCACTTTGGGCAATTTGCCCGGTTTGAGCTTAGAACAATGTCCCTGAGCATGATGTGGCTGTGCCGGAGTTATCGTGTACAAGAGTCCTGCATGACTGACTTCCATGCGCGAAGCTTGCTGAGAAAGACAAATTTCAAAAGGCTTGCTGCGAAGTGGACACTGCCAAAGAGAATCAAAGCTTCAAGCTTACTACGCAGAAAAAACATTTTAGCGGGAATGACGTGCGTCTGTACCTGCCGCAGCAGCCTGAGGGTGAACCTCTGGCGCAGCACTGGTCTCAAACTGTGTGAACATGGCCAAGGTTGGCTTTAGTAGCCAACGGAAGAACCTCCTACAATCTCTCACTCTGGCACGCGTCCTGTTGGTGGGGTAGGCGGAGCAGGGGCCTCAGGCTGGGCTGGCTCTGCAGGGTCGGCGGCCGCTGCAGCACGGCCTTCACCACTATTGTGGAACAAAGCTCGGCGGTGCGAAATCTCACGGATTGAAACCCTGCACGCTCGCATGCACCCGTTGTGGTACAGGATCTGGTTGCGGCGACTGGTGCTCCAAGTCTTCAATGACACGGCGGCATCCTTGCCACCTTCCACACGTCCAAGGCGTGGAAACTGTTTGAAGGCCGCTTCACAGACCAGCTTCACCTGATTGGAGAATGTAAATGGTATGGTACAATAACACCTGAAACACCCAACCCCACCTTGGCCATGGATGGTCGGATCTTCTTGCGCTTCTTGCCGGAACCGCTGCCGGAGGTGTGCGCGATATGGTAAATGTCCACAAGCTTGCTGAGCTTGATGCGACTGGCGCCGTGGAGCAGCAGCTTGCGGATGAGCTGACGGTCTTGGAGCTGCGCACCATCCTGAGGCTGTCCAAGAAGCATGTCACCACCAGTGCCAAAGCCAGTCTGAAACAACTGGCTTTCAGAGAGCAAATCCTGTGGAGCCACCGGAATGGGCAGATCAGTGGTGGCCGTGTCTCCCTCATCGTTGTCCTACGCTCAGGGCACAAAGTTCTTGGGCCGGCTTAGGCTTTTTGTTTTCTCATAGAAACGGTACATGGCTACCTTACACCGGAAACCTTTGATTCACCATTCTTTCGGGTCGCGTTCCCCAGACCACCGTTGCCAAGATGAAATTGTCGCGCGTTCCACCCACACAGCCAGAGACTCCTCGACGGCCTGGCCCACAACTGGACTGTGCACATCAAGGACCTGCTCAGTAGCGGCTGGCGGCGCGAAAGTGTCTGCAGGGTAGTCTCCATGAATCGGCTGGGCTATTTGCTCTGGTAGCAGGTCATCCGTCAAATCACTGTCAATGGCAGAGCGAAAGATGGTCCGGATCTGCAGCTGGATTTCCACTAGGCGGCTGGCTACGTGCACGCGACACCACCATGTGTAGGGACATTTCGGAAAAACTAGAAGGGGTCAGTCCAGCCTCGACGTGATCAGCCGTAATCTTGACTTGGCCAGTCGCATCAAAAGCCCCTCCGCCGCCGGCGAGGTCAAGCAAGGCCACCGCTGCGGAGAGCTGACCTTGCAAAGTCGCAGCAAACCCATGCATAGCCTCACAGTCGCCGGAGGCTTGCTGGGCTCGCACGGACTGGGCCACCTGATTTCCTGAGGCTCGTGCGAGCGAAGAAGTTGAATGACACGGGTCACTTTGTACAATGCACCAATTCCAAGTAGCAAAATGTGCGAGTGTGGCACAACAGTGGTCAAAAGGCACGCGGTGCCGGAAGGATAATATAAGGGGAGTGCACCCAACAACAGGAGCGCTTTTTCCATGCAGGAAAACATTGATTTCGCAGCGGAAACCCTTGCAGCTAGATCTCCTAGGAGAAGCTTCCGTCCACCCTCGTCCATTTCCAGCACGGCATGCGGTCGTCCACGAAAATGGTCGCACACTCGCCGCGCCCCAGCACGAATATGGTCCGTGGGATCCGGAAAATTCCACTTGCTGGAAATGCGGAATTCAGTCCTCAAAGTGGAAGAGCCTTCGCCTCAGCAACTGGACGGTGCCAAAGCGGGTTCAAGATGCGCTGGAAACAATTCTAGACAATGATGCATGGGCAAATGATAAACCCGAATCCCTCGAAGAAAAGTTATCCTAATTAAAACAACCCAGGCACCATCACGCACAACAATGTACCGGACCCTGGAAGGCACTCCATCTGGCAAAGTCACCGGGTATCCCCGCAAGGGCCCCTCCGCTTCAATGCCTTCTTCTGAAGCCTCCGCATCTTCAGCGTCGTCGGTGCCATCCGAAGCTTTGCCCTTCCAGCCTGCAGGATTGTTGAGCACATCTTCCCAACCAAAGATGGTGGCCTGCAATGAGGTCAGTGGGAGCCACGTCCACCGTTGAGCATTTGGGACATCTGCGTGTGGGGGTAAAGCATCGTGGCGAGCAACCGAAGTATCGACAACTATGAGGAAGCGCTCCTTGGTGCAAGCCGTGCGGTTGCCGATGAGGCCCCGCTCCATTCCGATGAACTTGCTCGGGTGTCCATTCCCGAGAACTGAAAGAGAAATGTGCTTGCTCTTTACACCTTCCCCGTAGGAAGTTGAAGTGCGCGTCGCTCGATGGGTCTACCCTGGGCCACCAGGGTGTTCAAAGTGCTGGCGTGTGAATTGATCACACTGCGTTCCGATGATGCCGAAATCTTAGGGCCTCATCCACATTGAATGCTTGGCCCCACCACAACCTTGTAGATGCTTGGTCCCCGCTTGATGCTTCCAACCTGCAGGGGTGTATACTACGACCTCAAGCAGCAAACCGACTAAAAATGACGCGGGAAGCGGCTGAGAGTCCAGAGGCTAGAACAAAAATATCCAGCCTGGCATTGCGGAAAGTCTGCACTGCACCGGAAAAAAGTATTCTGTGGTGGGGGTACAGCTCTGGACAGAAATTGATTTCACGAGGAAGGCAATCTCCCCCTCTGCTGCTCCATCCCCCTCTCGGAAGGTTTGGGCATGTTGACGGGCCATGTCCTCCAAAATGTCGTCCGCTGTCTCAAAGAGTATGTCCGTGGCCTGGAAAAGGCGCGACTTTCCTCTTTGAGCCGGCGCCACATGGAAGACCATCAATGCAAGGGGAGATGCCTTCTGCGACCACATCCTCGCAGCTGCCCCATTCGACAACGCAGCCATTGCCCCAGCAAATTGCATGCAGGTCACATACAAGCCCTGGCACGAAGACGTGCTAATTGGTTCTAGAAAGGAGCGGGCTGCTGGTGGAAGATGAGCAGGGTCAAAATTCTGCTCCACAACCTGCACCGCATTCTTCATAAGGACCTCCAAATCTTGACTGGACAGCTCTTCATTGGCCTTGGCCATAGTCAGCAAGGTTGTCCTCGGCACAGCAGCGAACAGGATGCGTGCTTTGGAAGTGGCTGGTTTGACAAGTGAATGGCTTTTGACATGTGTATTCAGGAGTCAACTGTGGAACAGCGCGAAAACAGCGAAGGGTTTTCACACGAGAAAGCTCGAAGATCAGATACTTGGGGAAAAAAACGACGCATATAGGCACACTGTCGGCCACAAAGAAATCTTAGCCTAGTACTAGGTTCTGACTTTAGGGGATTGTGCCTCTGTGCGGGCAAAGCGCTGTGTTCTGATGCTGCTTGTCGACCAGAGGGTTGCCAAAGGCTCGTTTATCAGACTCTTTGGGACAATGGCTGCGGCTAGGAACAACAGAGAAGATTGGATGACAGCTTCTCCTTTTCGTTCACACTGACATTGCCCTGGACATCCTCCACGCAAATACAACAAGGCTTCTTGAACGGTTGGTAAGAGTGGAAGGGCGTGGAACTTTTTCACTTAGTTGAAAGGGCGACAAAAGCCGACAATTTGACGCTGCCCCCTACCCACGGCATCTCATGCTCCCAATGAGACGGCTTTCCCACAGGCACTACCCCCGTGCGTGTCTGCGTTTGACTGCAACGGCTCTCTGCAGGCTGCCAGTGGCCAGCAGCACCTCAACCACCCAAGAGATTAATTACATAAGCTCCTTGACTTGTCAGCTTGCAGGGGAGGGGGGAGGGATCTTTGCAGCCAGCTGCATGTACCAGTTCCAATGGTCAAGGTCGCTGACCGCTACCAAACAAGCCGCACCAAAACCATCAGGGATGTGGGATGGGGTGGTCGGGCCGTGGCCGGATGGCCGGGCCATGGCCGGGCGGTGGCCGGGCTGTGGTCGGGCGGTGGCCGGGCCGGTGGCCGGGCCGTGGCCGGGCTGGCCGGTGGCCGGCCTGGCCTGGTGGCCGGTGGCGGGGGCCGGTGGCCGGAAACGAAAAAAGTCTATTGTGACGGTCGCGCGCTGGAACTTAGCCATGCCCTGCAGCAGCTTCTTGGTGAACTGTGATGGTCGCGCACTGGAACTTAGCCATGCCCTGCAGCAGCTTCTGGGTAAACTGTGAGGTTTGTGTGCTGCAACTTCGCCATACTCTGCAGCAGCTTCTTGGGGACCCTTGATGTGCAATAGCTTCCGGTGCACTGTGATGATCGCGCGCTGGAACCGAACCATACCCTGCACCAATTTCTGTGTGATTTCCACAGCCTTCGGGCCTTCAGTGCGGCAGTTCGCCGTGGTGCAACATGTTTTCTGGATGCCGAACGATTATTTGCTTTCACAAGATAATAAGTAGCCGTCAGTCCGGCCCACGCCTCCAGCACGCCGCTGCTTGCCCGTTTTCGTTTCAAAACTGACGAAACTAATCGCTTTGTGCATCTTTGACGTGCCCGCCGCCCGAACCAAACTTGAGGCCAGGGGGAGAGGTCGAAAGCTAGCCGAATCGCACCGGATGTACTAGTTACATAGTCGGCAAATCATGTAGGGATTACATGTTTTGGGAGGAAGGTTGCTATGTACATACTTTGCGCTAAAGAATGTAAATGTGACATCGCTGACTGGGAAGGGTACATTGGAACAACCCGGGTGCACTCGTTGGCAGGCACGAAGATGCGTGATCGGCAAATCTGGGGGGTAATTTTACCCTCCGCTTTTGTATGCCTTGAGTCGGAAAAAGGGGTAAGCATTTCTGACATCATACGGACTGTACGTACACTAGGGCGTCCGTAGTGTAGGAGAAGCACGGGTAAAAGGTATATGGAATAGAGTGTCTTGAGGAAATAGCCGGTGTATGGTTATTGCAAATCTGGGGGGTAAATTTACCCCCCGCTTATGTATGCCTTGTGCTGGAAAAAGGGGTAGGCATTTCTGGCATCACAAGGACTGTGCATACACTAGGGCGTCCGTAGTGTAGGATAAGCACTGGTAAAAGGTATAAGGAGTAGAGTGTCTTGAGGAAATAGCCGGCTTATGGTTATGGCAAATCTGGGGGGTAAATTTACCCCCCGCTTATGTATGCCTTGAGCCGGAACGAGGGGTAAGCATCACAAGGACTGTGCATACACTAGGGCGTCCGTAGTGTAGGATAAGCACTGGTAAAAGGTATCAAGAATAGAGTGTCTTGAGGAAATAGCCGGTGTATGGTTATAGCAAGCCTGGGGGGTAAATTTACCACCCACTTATGCATGCATTAGGTTAGAAATAGGGGTAAACAACTTGTAACGGTGAAGTACAAGTCCTATGCAGCAAGCAGCAACCACCAACCAGCAGCCAGCCAGCAGCACCACGCAGCAGCAGCGCAGCATCAAGCCGCAGCAGCAGAAGCACCACCGGCAGCAAGCACCACCGGCAGCAAGCAGCAAGCAGCAGCAGCAAGCAGCAAGCAGCAAACAGCAAGCAGCAAGCAGCAAGCAGCAGTAGCAGCGGCGTCGTCAGCCGCAACAAGTAGCAAAGCAGCAGCTACAAAAGCGGCAACCAGCGGCAGCAGCAAACAGCAGCAGCAAGCAGCAGAGCGGCAGCAGCAGCAGCAGCACCCTTTACACCAAGCCACCGTTTACACCCAACCAACCACGTTCAACCAACCCCCTACACGGCGCAGCTGGGAGTTGAACCGCAGGGGGGGGGGGGTTAGCTTGATATATCAATCTTTAAGGCACGCAGCCCCTCCCACCACAACATTGCTAAAGCAAAGAAGAACTCAGCTAGCATGCTAGCTTTCGTGATCTTTGCCTCGTTTCGCGCTCTTTTGTCTCCGGGGTTTTGCGTAGTGCTTCAACGTGGTGCTTCGATGTATGCCTTTTCAGTATGTTGACTCATAGTTAGTTTTAAGGTGCCCTCTGCAGTCCTGCTTCCAGAGTGAGTTTTTTTCTCGAATCAGCTTGTTTGCCGCGATTGCATTTGGATGTGTTTCAGAGACTTGCTATGATATGTTTTGGATGTGTGTCAACGTAACCGGGAACAGACTGCATGTGCATTGTGCACTTGTTTCATTCCCGGTGCATAATTCAGTGGATCTGGATTAGGGAAGTCCCTATGAGGGTGAGGAAGTCCCATCCTCTGCAGCCACAGCCTCAGTTTCCATCCTTTCGTCTTGCGCGATGCTCGTGTCTCAAGTGAGACCTTGCCTAGAAGTGAGCTATGTCATCGTGTTGTTTTCCATTTTTTCCCTTCTCCTTTGTAGTATTTCCCTCAGTCAGCCGAACGATGTCCAAGCGGATACGAATTTGAGGATGCCATCGAAGCCTGAGCGCTCGTGTGAGTGGCCATCTCGGAAGACCTTGAGGGAAGATGGTCATAAGTTCAGTTGCGGTGTATTTGGCTACTTCTTAGAACATTCTTGCCCCAATCTCCTTCACAAGCTAGGCGGTAAAGTAGTTGACCCGCGCCATCCTCCTAAGGAGATCACCAGATTTATAGATTTGCACAGGGCCCGCCTCGACCTAAGTTCTGATGGCAACTGCACACTGACAGCTTGACCATGCCAGCGCACAGCAACTATCCTCCCTAAAGCGATCGTATTTTTTGAGCAGCGGCAACGATCGTACTTGTCACTTTAAACTGATTAGTACACTGCAGAAAATGTGGGGGTGTTCTCTCATGAACGCATCCAAGTCGCCGATGTTTTGAGGTGGGAATCGCTGAGTAGATGCTCATATTTTCAAGGCCTAGCCTTAGATCAGAAAGGCGGCGTCGAGACAAAGAACATCTCCCGCAGAGAACAGAGACTTCGAGCTGGGTCGGACAATTGAATGCTTGGTTTAAGCATGGGAATCTGCATCGATAGCTGATGAAGTTTATCAGGGTAAATCTTGGAACACGATGCCAACACGCTGTGCTCCAGCGACCAGGCTCCCCTGCCTTCTGACTTGGACGATTCTTCTCCGGGCAATGACAGTGAAGCGAGCTGTTCGGCTCCTCGAGTCCAGTGGGCTTTCCTGTTCGTTCGCCTTTAGCAGAAGAAGCTGGCTTTTCAGACCACGGGCTGGGCTCACACCATGATCCTCAGAGTGCGACTGTGAGGCACCCAAACGAGCCTTTCAGTCAAGAAGAGAAAAAAAACCGGTTGCATACATTGATCTTCGAAGGTCAAATGAGTTCATTGACAGCAGAGGAACATCTCTTAGTTTGGGAGCTAGAACCTTTCAAGCCGATTTTTTCCGATGACACTGAGGCAACTGCATTGGTGCCTCAACCAAAGAT